ATAGATAGATAGATAGATAGATAGATAGATAGATAGATAGATAGATAAAATACTGTTCATATGTATGCAGGCATCCACATGTATGTGCCCTCAGCAGTCAGAAGAAGGCACTGGATCTTCTCAAGATTGAATTTACAAGCAGTTGTGGTTACCATGTGGGTTCTGGGAGCTGAATTTTGGTCCTTTGCAAGGGTAGCTACTGCTCTAATGGTTCACATCTCCAGCCCTGGAGAATCTGTTTGTATTCTTTCCAGATGGAGGGGACAACAACAAAGGAAGAAACAGTTCGATGCACATTCAGCTTGATGAGTCATTGTTTACCTGGGTTTTCTTCAGGTTCATGGGTGACTGAAAGGCAACTACATGATAGAAAAGTCGATCGTGACAAAAGTGACTACACACAAAAGCTGTGTCACTGTAGTTTCTTGAACAACTGGCAGCCATCACAACACAGTAGAGGATACTTCCCTCAGTAGCTGTTTAGAAAGCTAGAGAGGAGCCCCATGAGTCTTCTAAATTTTATGAGCTTCCAAGTCTTGTGAGTTTCATGTACCTGGTAAGCATTCTTCTTGCTTCTAGGAGGGAAGTATTATATCAGGAGTTAACAGCGACACAAAGGCACTAACATAGCAAACCAAGATCTCCTGAGTAAATTGGGAGTATGTGGGGGCAGGAGGAGGTTGAAAGGAGGAAGGCGAGGAAGAAAGGGGTAGGGGAAAATGTATAGCTCAAAATAATAAAAAAAAAACAATCTACATGAAAGTAGACAGGGACATAGGCAAGTATCACAAATGTCTTCTACTTGACATTACAGCAAATTAACATATAGGGAAAGCTGATCTACCTAGGTGGAGGTTATGGCTCTAGAAAAAGGGGGGTTGTGAAACAATTTTCATGGTGATGTACATGTTAAACATCTTGACTGTGGTGTTAGTATGTGAAGTTCCAGGTTTAGTTTAAAGACCTACATACACAGCAATCTATGTACTTAACCTAAATGCATTTTTATGTAATTAAATTGTACCTCAAAAAGAAAGCATAATGAAAAAATTTAGAAAATGAAATCTTAATAAATGAGTCAATTCATTTTTTAAAGTCTTGTTCTGTTTTGTGTTGTTGATGTATGTATCTGAAGGTATGAGAACATGCTCATGGATGCCCACAGAGGACAGAAGTGGATCTCCTGGTGATGACGTTGTTCACGGATATGAGCTGCCAATGTGCTTGGTGGGATCAGAACAGCAAGACTCAGAAGAACTCTCTCTAGCCCTTTGACTTAAAAAGCAAAACCCAACAATAACACACACACACTGTCATTTGCAGTATATTTTCCATTTGATTCTTAGCATAACTTTCTGAGTCCTAACTGCATGTCATGATGCTTGTAACCACTGGAAAGGTATGAAGTTGTATCATGTTTTCTCAAGAACTTTTAAACTTAGATTTGTTTTGCTTCTTGTAAAATACAGTATTTTCCAATAAATTATACTGTGACTAATGTTGTAACTGATACTTTTAAGAGATCATTGATTAAAAAAACTGACTTATAAAACTCTTTCAATACAGAGAAAAATCTCAGGAGTTTTGTATCATAGCATCATGTTCCAAACTTCAGTGAATCTGAACAAGATGAGCAGATACAGAGTTGGGACCAAGGTCCATTCAGTAAAGTAGCTGTTGTAGAAGCATGGAGACCTGTTAATATTCCCCAAATCCTTGTAAAAATTCAAGAAGGGTGTGTTCATCTGTAAATCCAGTTCTGAGTATGTTGAGACTGAAGAATACTTGATGTTGGACAGCTAGTTTAATTGAGTCAGTGAGCTCCAAGTTCCATGAGAGACTCTGGTTACCACATAGAATCTACATAGAAATATATAGATATTCATATAGCATGCATATACATGTGTATGACCATATGTGAACATGTGCACACAGTACACAACCTGAAATACACATTATATATAGCTCTTATCAAAATTTGAATATAAAATTCTACTGAAATTTATTGCTTCAGTCTGTCAAGATAGCTCATCAGGTAAAAACACCTTCTGGGAATCCTGACAACGTGAGTTAGACTCCCCAGAATCCACATAGTGGAGAGAACAGACTCTTGAAAGTTGTCCTCTGACCTGCACAAGTACTCCTGAGCCACATAGTGATACCTCTATCAAAAATATTACTTCATTGCTGTGGTTACCCTTTCAAAGACTCATAACTTACTTTAACTAAGACAAACAAAATGTAAGGACATTCCATGAAATACTAGAACATTACTTTTCAAAGTTGTCCATGTCTCTAAAAAACAAGAAAGGCTAATAAAATAACAGCCCCAAAAAAACCTATGGATCCAGCATAACTAATTATAGCATGGCTTTCTACATGGACTCCTTCATTAGAAGGACATTAATTTAAAAATATTATTTAAATGTTTAAAATGTACTTCCTTTACTGATAATTCATTTGGCTGTATTTAATTGACTGTGACAAGATAATATAAAATGACAGTGAGAGGGAAAACATTGTGGGGCAATGGTCTTGTACCCTACAAATATTTGTCACTTGTGTTGATTTAATAAAATGCTGATTGGCCAGTAGCCAGGTAGAAAGTATAGATGGGGTGACCAGAAAAGACACTGAGAAAAAATTGAAGAGGATACCAGAAAATGGAAGGATCTCCCATGTTCTTGGATAGGTAGGATCAACATAATAAAAATGGCAATTCTACCAAAGGCAATGTATAGATTCAATGCAATCCCCATCAAAACCCCAACAAAATTCTTGACATTCCTTGAGAGAACAATAATCAATATTATGTGGAAAAACAAAAAACCCAGGACAGCCAAAACAATCCTATAAATAAAGAAACTTCTGGGGACATTACCATCCCTGACTTCAAACTCTATCACAGAGCTACAGTAATGAA